TTCGTTCTCTCAGTGCCCCCCACCTGTTTCGCCTGGCCTTGTTGTTTGCCTCGCGATGCGCGACGCATGCCTTCTACGCATTCAGTGTCACCTTCGTTAGGCGACATTGAGAAAAAATTATGATAATGACGATCGCGCCCGAGGGCATTCCCGCGTTGCGCTTTCTCCGAGATTCGAGTGCTTTTCTCTTCCCTCTCTGTTCTCCATGAATGCGGAGAGAGAGATCTCTTTTCTGGCTCGGCGACGAACCACCACCCCCGCCAAAGCATTCAGCCGTTCTTCGAAATTCTTTTTTATTTACCGCGAACAGTCGCCAGTACAATATACGCGAATCCGTATCGCGAGCTACGGACTCTTCTACCCCGTAATAAATAAGCTCTAAATGATTCAGGTTGAAAAGAAAAAGTAGAGAAAACGGCACCGACGCATCGAGGCTTTCCTTCTGTCTTTTTCCCTTTCCTTCTTTTTTTGTACACTTTTCGCTGTTTATTTAACTTTCCAGCATCATGTAGAAAACTCGATTCAAGAATTTTATTTCCCGTTGGTTTGCGAGGGAACCCAATTATATCTGCTTGTCGTTCTTATTCAATCAGACGCGATACGACTCTGTAATGCGAGATTTCGCTATTTTCTCCCCTTTCGAAAGCGAAATTGAGTTCGACTAGTTGCTCTCGCATTTCAACTTCCGGGCAACTATCGTCACTTCAGTTACCACCGACAGCCAAGCTGCCTCACACCCTCGCTCGAACCTCCGTTTCCGTCGACTTCTATTTTTTCCCACGCCGTTCTATAGAAGCCAACCACGCGAGTTTTTACGTTCACCGAAAATACATGATTTCAGCTTCGATGGATGACAAACAGAAAGAAAAAGAACGAGCAGACGAGGGATGTAAGCACGATAATTACCAACACTCGCCGATGTATTGAATAGTAGTCGATGGTGAAAGGTAATAGCCGAGCAATAACATTCTAACGGAGAACAGTATCATCAGTCAATCTGCTGTGGCACGGCATGTTTATTACGGACACGAGTTACTGTCGGTGGAACAAATGCCCCTACCCGAACGGAAAGCCACTCCAGCCAAACCTGTCCATTATTCCTGTCGTTCACTTTCGTTACTTCCTCTATATAACATCCCTCGTCACGATGTAACGTGCGCCGCGATGAAAGGGTACAGAAACAAACGCACCACGCCGCGTTGCTCCGCGTTACCGCTCTGCGCGAAATTAGAAGTGGACGAGCAATAAGGTGGTTCGATTTTCACGGCGTTCCGCACCGGAAAAAACGTCGTCGATTAAGCGAGGATCATCGGAAATTCGCTCTTTTCCCCTTTTCTTGTTTTTTTCTACCCGTTCCGTTTATGCTACGAATTAGTTTCGCAAATTCTTTTTTATCGACTATACCGATTTGAACCCTTTGAGAGGTTTTACGTTTGCACCGATGGATGTAATCGTATCAGGAACAAACATCGTAGTAAAACTCGATAAAATTAAAGTACCGTTTAATTAGGGGATAACCGGGTGCGGAAAATGGCGAAGCAGAAAAAAGCGGTTTATCTTGTTTGTAACAACCTTTAAACCTTTTTACGTCATTTGTTCTACCTGCTTCCTATTTGTTCGATTTTTGTTTTGCGTTATTTTTTTGCCACTTCTCTTTTTTCGCGAGAGCTTTCAGTTTTGATTTAATATCTATTAACCCCGTGCAAATGTAATATCATGCTAGTCACGTTCTCGTGCGATCCCCCAGACTGCATATAGTTTCTAATATATCTTCTTGACGTATTCTTTTGTTCGACGGTACTGACGCGTTATACGATGTTAATAAAATAAGCTCAATTACCAAGGGGCATCGTAAAGAAAGCTGGTTCAGATTCAGATGCAATTACCGTGCTGTGAGACGGGATGAGAGAAAGATAAGCACAGACGTAAATCAGAATACTCGTAGATCAGGATATAACCGTCGCGAAACTTTTTGTTTGCATTTCATCCACTTATCTTTTTTCGCAAAATGAAGATCAACAATACGAAGGCTATTAAAGAAGAGTATTCGTCATTTATCTTGATTCAAGAACGAGGGAAGGAATAGCCGTTATTAACAGGTAACGGGGGTGAAGCGACGGCCGGGTGTGTCAGCTCCGAATTACAAGGCTTGATAAAACGTTGACGAAAAATTTATTAGCGAGGTCCATCAAACATTCGAAATGCATTTACGGATTACTCATGCGTGACAACAATGCGAATCAGAGGATTGCATTCGGTGTATCGCATCTCTGTATCTGCATCGAAGAAAATCTAGGAATCTTCTATTTTGATTGCACGAACGGGAATAAGATATCTATTTCGCATATACATACGTACGGAGGAAATGAGATTTGCTATGCATAGAAAAATAAACTGAACCTTGCTTCCATTTCCTGTTACAACTATATAAAATCCAACAGGCATTCAACAGGATACATAACGATATTCAAGTGAAAGGAACTTATCCGATCCCGTATAAATATTATATGCCTTCTTCCCGTGCTTTTCACGAAGTTTCGCGTACCGGTGTAATTAAGTAATGGGAGCTCCTGTCGATGTTAATTTTCGAATTTCGCAACTCCTCGAATATCCTATACCGACTATTTCGAAAGTCGTTTCAGTTCAAGCTGTGTTTTATAGAGAATGACAAAAAAGCTAGAAAAAGCGCAAAAAAGAGAAAAAGGCAGGATAACGGAAACATTCTAGCAGTTTTATTTAATTCAATCTTGAAAACTTTTAACTAAGGAAGACTTCGTAGACATCGCTTACCGCTACCCTCTCCTTCCTCTCTCTCTCTCTCTCTCTCTCTCTCTCTCTCTCTCTCTCTCTCTTTCTCTCAACCTCTTGTCCCGCCGTCCCTTCCATTTCCACGTTCCCATTCCACTTCTCGATCTCGCACTTCCACTATCATCGCGACATTGCCCGAATTTTGAACATTAGTTTGCGAACCATTTAGCACAACTACTCGGTGCCTGCGAGCGTAGTTCGAATCACGGCACATGCATTGGCGTGCAGCTTAAACCGCAATGCTTAGTACTACCATAGTGCTCGCCGGTACAGTCATTGTACATTATGCTCGGCGAGTCTTCATCCCCGTGTATAGGAAAAGCGTATAACAGCATTCCCGGGACATGTGCGAAGGTAATTGGAAAAGAAGCGAAGAGCTGCGCGCACCTCGAGTGAGGCGACGTTCAAATAAATCGCCAGGCACTATGGCTGTACAGCAGGAAATTTTCGTTTGTACAATGGGTCGAGCTATATTCGGGATAATTACAAACGGCGCTCGAACGAGGTAACCAATATTCTAATAGCCTGATTCTATTGTGAAACTCGAGCGTTAAGATTAAATCCTGACCATTATCATCGTACGAGGCAGAATACATTAATTAGTTTGCTTGGAAAAATCACACTGTCTGAAATTCAATTCGTTTTATCAATCGTTAGGATCTAAGCTACAAGAGACAGATATCGTACCATATTTCCCAACACCTCGGTATTGTTTAAACGCGAATGAAAATACATCGTTTCAATTTTTACGAAAATAAAACGTTTCGAGTAATTCTTAATTATTAACATACTGCATTTGATTTCCACGTTCACGTTAAAATCGGCATAAACCATCGGAAAAATATAATGAACCGAGACTTTTCTTGATTGGCAGCGAGCATGAGAAAGCATTACTTTTTTAATTGAAGGGATTTACGTGATAATACGCGTACACACAACTTTTGTAAGTTTCCAAGAAGGTATGAAGATAGTGCGCCGCACTTGAATAAGAGCACACGCAGTTCTTTTGATATTACTGAAGAGCGCAATTTCACGTTACATGTAATCGCTTAAAAGCAACGCTTATGCTAGTTAATTGCCATAAATGCACGGGCTGGTACATTTCTCTCTCTTTCTACAAATATTAATTATCCCTCGTCGCGGCGAAATATTAACTTTCGACATTCAACGACGTGAACAGTTTCTCTTCGTGCTTATTTCAATTGTACTGTGGCATAAAAGCGTTATGAAAAACATTGTTTTAAGAAATTAATCGAGACGATAACGGTAATCGACTTGTATGAAATGCAGTTTCGACCCCCTCTTCTATTACGTTTTAAATTTCATGCTGCAGCTTAACGATCCGTACAAATTCAGATTTAATATAAATTGTGCAGTCTATTCGAATTTCAAACTATGCATATCCCGTGCTACTTAATTTATTAAAATAATCATTGCTCCACACTGTGACGAGTTCACTGAATTACTGGAATTACGATATCTATTTAAAGAAATGAACTTTCTTTTCCCTTAATTAAAAATAGGATATTATCCGTAAAATTCAGTTGTTAATAGTGTCATTTCGTAAAACGATCTATCATAGTAATCGTAACAATTGCGAAAATAAAGATTGAAACGTATTTAATACCAATCTTTTATCTTTTCTAAACAAAATTACACTAGATCTCCTAATAATAATTGTTAAAAAAAAGTGTAAGGAAAGGATCTCTGTCTCACTGTTGATCGCGTTACGAAAAACATTTTGTTGAAGTTGAGAAATAACGTTACTTACCGCGTACAGACGCGTGACGAGATTTAATATCGAGCCTTGTCAGCCAATGACACAATAATCTGATGTCATAACTGTTGCTCTTCTCGAGATGATGCTCGATCCAAGTGTAGCGCGAATGCTGAGAAGTGGCGCGTACCGCACCAAGGGACAGACGGTGCGCGACTGTGCGCCGAACACCCTCGCAATCTCCCTTTTATGGTCTTCCTCACGGCGCGTCCACTCATACATCGACTGTCGCTACTGCTCTGTGCGATCCATTACTTCCTATCGAATCGTGACTCTCGCGAAACTACATTTTGTCATACTCGCATAAGTATTTCTCGCTTAGCTCGATACAACACGTACGATAAAACGGAATACGATTTTTACGATCGATAAGATAGTACGCAAGGAAGGATAAATGTCGAACGAAATGGATGAATTCGATTAGAATAAGAAAAACTTTTTATTCAGTATTTATAGTACACACAAATTTTATGTATCAAAGATTACATAAGGACTTATTCGGTAATTTCCTTTTGGCTGATTCTTCGTGTACCTTGACTTGAAGAGTGGAACGCGGTCCGCATTTCCAAACGTTTCCATCCTTGTCGAGTATACTCGCGCTCGCAGTGACTTGATACTGTCCACCGACAGTGTTCATGTTGTTGTTTACATTGTTGGTATTGTTCGCACACGCCGTTGCTGTTGTACTTGGACTACCTAGCGAGAGCAAAAATTCGCAAGCGAAGAAATCGCGATGCGGTGTAACAGTTTGTTGCAATTCGTTCGCATTGGAATCCTATAAAAAAAGATTATTCGTTTGGTTACTTATTAAGTGTTAGATTGATCATAAGAAACGTTGATTCGTACTTTCTGGTCCAAATTAATTTTCGACGGAGGGGTAGTGGAAATAGAAATGCAAACAGCAGCGACAGAGCGATAAAGAGAAGCCCAACGACCATGCCGCAGTACCCCTTCGACTTTCAACGCTAGCTGACTTCCATCGGGAATGGATACCGGCTCGCCGAGAACCCGAGGCTGCGGTGAAACGGACAGCTTGACGGTGGTCGCTTGCAGAACTTGGAAATAATACCGAGGTATTGGTAAACGCATTTTTGTTCCAGCCAACAACATCACTTGCGAGACTAAGCAGTTGATTCGCGAATGACTGAGTGCTGCCGCTTTATTTTCACCCACATAGGTAGGCGCCAAACGACGCAGCTCCGTGCAACAGCGAGCTAGCTGACGCATTTCCACGGTATCGCCGAAATCGAAGTTAACTTCGGTCTGCTGATATGTTTGAATACCTGTACCGCCGCAGACGCGTTCGACGCTGTTTACTAAAAGACGACAAATTTCTTGAAGCCTACGGGCGACGGGTGAAGGAAAAGCGAGCCAAAGGTATGTATAAACGTTTATAATAATTTTTTTAATAAAGGATACGCTCGTATGTTTGTCAATGTGCCGGGATCAGCGTCGAAAGCTGACTGATAAAGCTTCTGGTAATTCTCCGCACAATTTTTGAGCTCTTGAGCTGATTTCCTTAACTGTTACGTACATACAATTTTATCAGTACCGTACTTAAAATTATAAACATAAAGTATAATATACCTGATTAGTAACACGTCCGTATCGTTGAAGATCATCCTTCGTGTTAAGAACTACGGTACATGTAATGGCAGGTGGTGGAGCCGTGCAAAGCGATCTAAAATGTAGAATAGTTTTGTATAGTCTCTAATAATCACAGCGCGATAGTTATAATCCTTTTGCGATACCTGCACGAATGTAACAGTTGTACGATAGCTTGAAGAAATTCACAGCGTAGTTTCGAATATTCACTGGCAAATTGCAAACTTCGCAAGGGTGTACTAGCAGCTTTTAATGCCGCGCACGCACTCGCATAACGTGCAATAGCTCCGTGTAGTTTCTCCACCGTGTGAATTCTTGCTCTGTTCTCTAAAGGTTCTCTCTGCTCTCTACAAAAAAATGAAAGATATGAGAATATACTTTAATGAAATAAGTTATTAAACATAAGTATGAACACTAACATCAAATAACTTTCAGCTTTTGTAACGAGCTCTAAACCCGACAACCAAAAGTGTAATTGTTCAGATGCGACTGTTTCCTTTAAGCTCCTAAATATTTGAGTAGCTATTGTGTGATGACCATATCTCGCAGCACTTCGCGCAATTCGATATTTGGCCCAACCATCGACGTTTTTAATTACCTCTTCTACCGCTTCCAAACATTCAGGATTCCATTCGTAGCCTCCAGCTACCATTTGAAATAGCAAGGTACACAGCATTACCTAACAAACGAATATATACTTTTTAATGATTTGTATCAATAGATATATGTAAAATGTAATTTATAATTGTACCTTTGTATGTACATGTACAGTCTGTTTAAGTTTAATTAATATGTCTGGCAAAAGTGGAAGTAGCGTGTTCTCTCCTATACTGCCAATAGCGCCTAATGCCTCGCATAAAGCAAGCGCTTGTTTTTCGCTATGACCACCTTCTGTCTGAGTGTTAAAAAGCGTACTACCAATAGCATCGACAAATACCGAACAATGATTCGGTTGAGTTCGACACAATTTCACTGTTGAACGTAGGCACACTTTCAACTGGCGTAAATATTTTTCGTCCAGAGCCAATAATACAATTAATGATTCAAGACAAGATACAACGTCTTGTATTCCATAAGGTGGTAAACCTTCTTCGTAGCTAAAAAATAAATAGTGCAGCTCTACAATATGTCCTTAAAAATATGATAAATAAAAAGAACTATTGGATACACACCAGTAACAAGCAATTCTAGTTAAAATGGTTATTGCTTTTACTGCTATGAAAGGATCAGGAGAGTAACAAGCATTTGCACATAATGATAAAAGAGGATTTCCTTCCTCTCTGTTTGCATCGCACGTTACTGCACTTTGGCTAAGTACCTAAATTTGATAAGATTAAAGATTTATTTTTCAATTGTAATAATCACAAAAGATCTGTTTTTATTACTGTTTATGAATCAGTGAGAACCTCGATCACGTCTAATGTACGAATAAGTAGATCTTTGTTTCCAGTACCATCTTGTAGGAGTGTGGTAGTACTTTCTAAAATTCAGAATCCATATAATGTCCACTTCCATTACTCATAGTTATCTATTTGTCGTAATTACCTATTAAATTATTGAGAGCACCCTGTGGCCACAGATGTGCTCCCCTCCTGGCCAACGAATGTAAAAGATGTAAAGCATGACGCTTTATGTTTAGTCTTGGATCATCTTGCAAATAACGTAGTAGAAGTACAACTTGTTGTGGAATGTCAATTAATGTCGCAGAAGCCAATGTGTTCAGAGCACTTAATGTAACTTTAACAAATTCTACTGCTGGATAACTAGCAAGAAGTTCCATGCACAGTTTGTTCACCTTTAAGAAATTTATATCAATAAAATATTTGAATGTATCTAAAGAATAAAGATTAAGTTATTTATGTATACCATTGAAGCTGTGAAAGTATCATGATGCATATATTGTAAAATAGGTATAAGTTGCAACTTCATTGATGCTGGTGTTGCTTGACCTCTGATCATATCAGATATTTTGCTGCACATAGATACTGCAAATAATTTGGATTGTGCAGCGAACATCTGTGCAGCATATATTGCAGCTTCAACTTCAACTGAATCATGAGAATCTAATGATCTCCTTATACTGTGATGAACCTTACAAATTAAACAATATTTTATTACAATATCTATCCACAACAGAAGATAAGAATTAAAGTATAACATTACCTGTTGTCTTTCTGGAATAATACCAGCTACACTACCTAATGTACGTAACGTCAGAGCTCTTGCAACTGGATCATTAGAATGTATTACACTATAAATACGTCTTACAAATTCATCAATATTCAAGATCTTATCTAAGTGCTTTTCACTCTGTTGGCATACTCTGAGAACCCAAACACGTAAAAAATTGCTGCCAGTACGAAAGACTTCGGCCAATTTTAATAAAGAAGAATTGATCAATATTGGAAAGGGATATTTCTCGAATAAACGAGGAAATCGTACTATAGCTTCGCATTGTTCACCGATCTTTGTTGAACGCAAACCTGAAAAGTAGCATAAATAAATCTTTTCTGTGTACATTCTGCAGTCTCTAAAAAAGTATATTTTTCAAACAAAGTACAAGTTTCATAAGACATGTAATAAGAATTCCTTCCTATTTTTATTCATAATTTGTTAGAGAAATGAAAAATTGAATCTGGGAGGTTAAATTTAAGAATACAAACAGACCTTTATCTAATTCTATAAGTGCAGTATTTGCATCTTGTTCGGGTTCACCAAGGCCTGTATCGTTAAACGCGTTCATTCTTATACCGATCATTCTTTTCAATATAACAAATTCAATGAACGAACATTAGATGAAATGCTTTTATTGGGAAACAGAATATTTTGATTCATACAAGAGTACAACCGGCAATGAACATTGATGAACATACGGAAGCAGACCAGCTACGCCAGCTACTGCCACTGCCTGTTTACATATGCTATACTTAACTTATACTACATGTGCATTACGCAGGATACCAAAAAAACTTTATTTATTAATAATATGTTCGAGGATCTAATAGCATGCAATTATTTTGTAAATTGATAGAATATGTGTGTTTAACAAATTTTTTTAAATATTAAAATTAACCGTAGTCCCTTAACATTTTTATATGATTAAATAAAATACACAAAAATCTTATTTATCGCATAAGTCAATTAATTTATTGTAACATCTTTATAAATATCTATTGAAAAATGATAATACGGTTGAGAACTACTGATGTAATACATCTAGATACATCGAACGACTACTTATCTCGCGCGAATATAAGTTCTGTTCTGTGTTCACGTCGATCAGTGTAGTTGACAATTAAACTTCGACAAGTGCAGGCGCTGTATTTCTGCTACTACAAAGCATAAAAAAACACTATTTGTATAAGTTACGTTTTTCAAATAATCAGTTTTGAAATAGTACCTCGTCATATCGAAAGTGCATTTAACTGAACGGACGATGGTGGATTACAGTAAATGGAAAGATATTGAAGTAAGTATCCTACTTTTGATCCAGTGTGCTTATGGAATATTCTAGAGTGGTAGTAGATATTTCAAGGATACCAGTTGTTTGTACAATTTAAAAATATAGAATATACATCAAATGTAAAAATACTTGATGTGATTCTAGCCAAAACAACTTACATGATTATTGCTGTTCATAAATTGCAAAATGATTATGTTTTCTTGGCATTAGATCGCTGCGTTAAAACAGATGTAGAAATTTTTATAATCCTTCGTCATTACTTTATTTACTAATAAATTATATCATTCATATTGAACAACTATACAAAACAATTAAGAGGATAAAGTTTTGTTTGTATGTTAAACTTATTTTTAAAATGTAGTTATGTATTAGATTTCAGATGATGAGGACGACACTCATCCGAACATCGATACACCATCATTATTCAGATGGCGGCATCAAGCAAGAGTTGAAAGAATGGAAGAACAGAGACGTGAACATGAAGAACATGAAAGGAAAAAAGCAGAGTACGTATATCATATGTACAGTTACTCCCATGATTGACACATTTTATCATAAATTCTTAAATCCATTGGTTCGTAGGACTTTACAAAAGTTGAAGAGCACAAAGGAACAACTTGCAAAACTGGAAAATGAGCAAAGTGCTGATTTAACTGGATTGAAGAAAGTTTTGCAAGATCTGGAAGAGGAACAAAAAAAGATACAGGATAAGGAAAACGAAATGAAGAAGAAAGAAAAGCTCACACCTTGGAACGTTGATACCATTGGACAAGATGGATTTGCAAAAACAGTGATTAATAAAAGGACAGCACGTAAGGATGATGACAGTGGTTTGTCAGACGAAGAAAAGGAAAAGAAAATAAAAGAATTTGTGAAAGAGAATGAAAAGGCATTGAAGCAATTTGGTATGCTCAGGAAGTATGATGATAGTAAGAAATACCTGCAAGAGAATCCACAGTTAGTATGTGAAAATACCGCGAATTATTTAGTAATCTGGTGTATTAATCTAGAAATAGAAGAAGTAAGTATACGTTTAAATGCTTGTATATGTACATTTTATTGCTGATGAAATTCACATGACTAACTTGATCAATTTCAGAAACATGATTTAATGGAGCATGTTGCTCATCAATGCATATGCATGCAGTACATTCTGGAATTGTCGAAACAGTTGGACGTGGATCCAAGAGCATGTGTAGGTTCCTTCTTTAGTCACATTCAAAATGCCGAGATAGAATACAAAAATTCCTTTGACGATGAATTAAGAGCGTTCAAAGAAAGAATACGTAAGAGAGCTGCTGAGAAAATAGCAGATGCTCTTAAGGAAGCTGAGGAAGAAGAGAAAATGGCACGCATTGGTCCGGGTAACCTTGATCCAGTTGAAGTATTTGAGAGTCTTCCAGCGGTATAAAGAAATTTATTATGCATACCTTTAGTTTTATTGAATGTAGCGTGTATTCTAATATTGATGCATTGTTCTCAGCCTTTGAAAGTATGCTTTGAGACGCAGAGTCACTCTTTATTGCAAGAGACATTAGCAGCGATGCCACAGAATGAAGCAGTTTATCACATGAAACGGTGTATTGATAGTGGTCTTTGGGTACCTGACGCGAAATCCAAGGAGTTAATTGATGGAGAAACATCTGCGGAAAATGTGGAAGAAACGCCGAAACCTGAATAATAATACGTATCTGTAAATCATGTGCGTTGACTTTCATGACTCATTTTTATGCAAGTATCCTTTAGTACTATGAATATGTTACAATAAAAGTATTATCATTGGACAATGAACACGACATTTTTACCTCTGTTGGCTTTTTTCTTATTTTAATAATATCATATAACTATTGTTATGCTTTGAAGTACTGTGAGACTGAATTATCACATAATTTCAAGTTATAAGAAGTGTGAATATTACGCATCGTTAATTAAATGATAAAATTATCTAGTAAAAGAATGTGATACACACTTTGTCCATATACCACATCGACTGTACAATTATGGATTAAACGTATACAAGAACATTCGTATGTTCAATATCTATGCTGGCACATGTAGAGCATACATGTATATGTACATAAACTTAATTTGTTGTATATGCTTTATTTACGTGAATATTTACTCTTCGTTTCTTATTTCGTATGTATATTGAAAATAATTGTAAAACTGATGTTATGATGTAAATAAAGAAAGTACATTCGACTTCTGTGAAAAATTTATTTTGATAAATGCGTTCCTTGGAATCATTACGTATCGTATATTTTGTGTTTCATTGTTCCAGAGCGTTTCATGTAATCAATTTACGCGCCAAATGTTGAACGAGATATCGATACGCAATACGTCAGAAAGTCGTGGTTCGACCGGAAGCCGTGAAATAATCGTATATCGAACGCATGAAGTTTTCTTCCTTTTCCGGTATGACGTGCCACGGGTGTATGGGTAATATTTTTCGTCTTTCATTCTCGTCATAATACGTTAGTTTCATCGCCTGCGAAAGCGCAAGCTGGTTTTCATTGGACCGGGTAAAACTGTTTCTCTTATTAGAAATCATATTTTGTGTATTTAAAGTATCTCATACTGTACAATTTTAACGCGATCGTATTTGACATTCATCTAGCTACCCAATCTAATTGAAAACTACAGCTTTTATACGTTACGTTGCTTTCTGAAACCGCTTATTCACTTTGCATGACCACTATCATTAACGTTCATATAAATTTACGCACTGTTCTTTTTCATCATATATTTTCCTAATTACATCTCTAAAAACGAGATCAAGTCTCTGAACTAGCATATATTGTTGAGTAGTTGATAATTTTTGTGAATATTACTACTAACCGACATCTTCGATAGGATTTCTGTAATTAAGACACGAATTCAATTAAGCCTCGACAACATACGTATATTGATTGATTCGTACGATAGTTTCCATACGTTTCAACGTACAATTTAAGTAAAACGAGCAAAAAAACGAGAGTGGACCGCGTACATAGACAGATGAACCGTGATCTCATTGCTTAGTTCGCTTGATTGTAATTGCGCATATGTATAAAGAGCAATTGAAAAACCGTCGCCAGGCATTCTGGGTAAAATTTCTGTGAGTAATCAAAATGGCTGTCATACAACGATTTCCGTTTTACAGCTACGTTTTAACGTGATTCTGAAAAATGTTATTCTCGCTCTTACGTTCTGTGGATTGAAATGAACCGATGTAAATACGTAATTTTTAACAACGTGTATTCCGTCAGATTTCTGCATTTCGTTTGTAAAAAGATATAAATTTTTATTACATTTCAGGGCGTTTGTTTTATCGGGGTATAGACGAGCGGGACGAGGGGGGGACTGTGCGCGCGCGTTGCATGATGGGACGATGGACGGGAGGACGGTCGGGGAGGGCGAAAGAACGAGTCGAGTTCACAAAATGGCGGCCAAGCTCAGGCCCGTGAACATATAGTACGTGAAAATTCGATAATTTTGCATGATGTCGCGACTTTGTTCATCAATAGTCGTTTAACATTACGAATACGTGTTTACGCGATAGTTTAATCATTAAATTAACGTGATTTTGTGCGTGGTGCGTGTAATATCGAGATTTCGGTGCGACGCGCAGACGGAACGATGCAGGTGAGTGGTCGGGTTCGAGAATTGTTTAAGTTTCTGCTTTTCTTCATTTTTTTTCCGGATAATTGTTTATTCCCGTTGCTAATATGAGCATCTACGTTATTTTAAAGAACAATTTGCGTGATATAGCCGCGGTGTTGTTTGGAGTAGGGGAAAAATCATGTTGTCACATGCGTTTCATTGAACATCCACGATAAAAATCATTGTAAAAATGAAAAAAATCATTGGAATTTCATTTAAAAGGTATCTGCGTGTAGGGCGGGGTCCTATTGACCTTAGGAGTTCAGAGACTTGTCTCTACTAAATCACGATTTTCTGCAATTTTACATAGTTTCCAGCCTCTTAATAACCTACAAGTTTGTTTACATTCATTCAATTTGACATTTATCACATAAAATATCATTGTTGCACCCTAATTTTCATCAAAAATCATTCCTTACAATTTCCTTCACCTTGGGCCCATACTTATTCAAAAATTTAAAATAGACCCATTTTTGCAAATTAAGCTCAAAGATTATGATGCACACTCTCTACATTATGGTTGAGACTGTGTACCACAATCATCTGTAAAAGCTGTGGAAATTAAATGTTTCTCACGTGAGAAATACTTCATGTATTGAGAGTTTTTTCCTTTACAAGCAAGCAGAGGCATTTTAAAAATTTTTATATATTATAAATGTTATCTGATTCTTCATTTATTCTTCTATATTCTTCATAAAACTTGGGCTTGCATAAACACAAATGTATCATGCTTTTATTTTGTGTTTACAAACGACATGAGGATGTTACGTTTGTACTTTGAACATCATTTTTATCAAAATTTTACGAATGTAAATCATTTAATGGGGGACAATAATTTACATCAATGGGCGAAGTATGTGAAAAAAGATTTCTCTTACTATCCATTCAATAATATAGGTTTTTGTATTTCTTCCTTTGAAGATTTTTCGTCTAACTATGTAACGCTTAGCATCTCAGACATTTTTACAAAAGTCTATAGTAGAATAATCAAGTATGAAAACTTTCAAACATAGGAAATCATTAATTAACACTGGAAGCATATGATATTTACGTTGCATAAGTGATAATAAGACGGAGATACATAATTTCCTATGATTTTATGTGACGAATACTTAAATGTTAATGTTTTCCATGTTGATAAGATACAATTACAGTATGTATAAGAACACAGATAGAGATTTTACACTGATAGATACAAAAGTAAGTTATTTAATCTTATTAATGATGTAGCACAAGCATAGTATATGCGATGATTTTAATATAGGATGACAGTATGTGTACAATGTCGCTTGAAATAGTAATTTTTATGTAGAGGCAGATTAAATTCAGAGGAGGAATTAATATGTTAATGGGAGAATCATTTTTCAAATGTGAGAATCTACTTTCTTTTGCATTAGATAAGCACACGTTGTCATAACATTAGATTACTGCTCTTCACACAAGATGTAACAGAACAATCATACATTTGTAAGAACATTCTATTTCATCCAGCGAAGTTGTGCTTCATCTTTTCTTCAGAATAAGAACATGCATGTTTTAATCTCAACGTTAACAGTATTTTAATTTAAACATACGTTAAGTATTAATCTGCTAGGAAATTTGATGATAAGAAACGATTAGGGATACAATTTTTCTCTGATTCAGTTTTTTTTGTACACTACTCAAGGTAAATGTAAACTTTTAAGCTCAATCACGAGTTGGACGCGCAATGTACTTGCTGTTCAATAAACATATACATTATTTAAATGGCGAATTAAGTTATTCTGAAATACCCATTATACCTTCTATTGGTAATTTACAGTTAATTATTCTATGTCTTAAGTTAAGCATTTACAGGAAATTCTGCTGAGAACTTTTTTCTTACTACCTTTTGATTGAAGACAGTTGCACACAACCAATATTTGAAAGAATACAAGTTGAGAATGTTTTACATAGTCTTCAGAGAAAAGAATATGTATACCAAGATTTTGGGAAAGATGAATTTACAATATGTAGATGTGCCTACATTGTGAGTAGCTATCTTCTATTCATTTGGTACATTAAGAAATCCACATTAATATAGGCAATACTTTATATTTATACAATTATAATTCTGAGACATGAAACGATGCTAGATCAGTCTGATTGAATTACAGAAAACGTTAGAGTCTGAGTCTGGTAAAGAATCTGGATCTGATTCTGAGAATGAAAGTAAGAGTGATAGCTCTACTTCAGGAAGTCTTACAGGATCTGGTTCAGGATCAGAAAGGTGGGTATTGAAACTATTGTTACATAATCTCTTTCTCCCAGAAGGTCCAGTACATCTCAATCCAATGGCTTTTTATCTTTAAGCGTTCTATATTTATTTACTTAAATTATTTTGTTTCTATAACAGAGCGTTATACAATCTCAATCTGGTCTAATAATAGTAATCATTGTCTGAAGTCATGAAAGGTACTGCCTGTGATACATTTCTTTATATAATGTATTTGACTTTCTGACATGTAAGAGGTTACTTGAGATTGATATCATTTAACTTTGTGTATTGCTATAGCTTTATATAGCATTAACATTGCTTTGACGATCATGCTAATTTAATGTACTCCTTAAATTTTCTATAAGCACAGTTTTCAAATTTCTGTTACTTGTGCAATAGTATATCTGTTTTCTTGTATTTTAAAACAATTCGAGCACTAGGTAAGCTAGTACTCTACTGCTTTCATTCATTTTACTTTCTGAGACGACATGCCTTAATAAATGACACGTAGTAAACATCGACGTATTAACATCAGACATTCATATATTAGAATTACGTTTATGTACTACATGAGAGTTACACATATTTTTATTTCTCGTGGTCTAGAATTAATTTACATTTGAGTAGACGTTTTATGTGCAAATATATTTGTCTATTTTATGAAATACATTTTGAATTACGATCTTACGAAAATTATGCGAAGTGCGATAGTGAAATAAAACATTGCCTGACTGCGAATGCAGTGACTCTAGCTCATCAAGCGGTTCCGGGTCCGGATCAGGCTCTGATTCTGATAAATCAGAGAAGTCAGACGCACCTGCACGAAGTGATAGCTTCCAGAGCAAAAGTTCATATCACAGCACAGAAAAAGTTAGGCTTAAAAATGAGTCTAGTCGCGAGTGGGATGAGAATCCTGATATTTACGGAATCAGGAGATCCGGACGTTCTAGGAAAGAGCCCGAAAGGCTCGCTACGCAGCGTGAAAGCGATAGCGATAGCCGCAAGAAATTTAAGAAAAAGGGGTAAGTAAAACACAAGGAAATCAAATTATAATTATCAAAAATTCGAATTAAAAATTCTTTTCTTCTATTACTCCTCTCCTGGATTAAATAAATGTTAAGCTTAATAGGCGTAAACATACCTTTTAAACGATTCACGATCTTAATTTAAGAATTTGCATTTATATTGTTTTTGAGAGTAATAGTTTATCATAGCTGTATAGCGTTAAAGATTTAAATGATAACTTGAATTATTATATTGGACAGCATTCAAAACTATTGCAAGACTTCTTGCTATTTGTAGGAAATTTAATTACTTTTATATATTTGTAAGTAGTGGTAGATCATTCGAGCCTATAAAATAGTGAGTAGCTGTTACATAGTAGGTTTGTACTCGATAACTTTGGCAGCAGTAATTATTCAAAGCTTATTTGTTATAGTTTATGTATGCACTATTTTCTATTGCATATATTGTGTATCAGTGTGGCTCGATAGTTTTTATCATTAATGTTCAAATTTGTGTTTGTCGACCATCATGCTTCGAACAATTTTTTGAATTATAGCACTACTGTATGTTTTTCATCTTGTTTTGTACAAATCCATTTGTTAAACAAAATGTTGCATCGCGTCTCACAATCTTAATATTTAATTTGTGCTATATACCCATCCATGTTTTTATGTACTTCACTAAATATGTAATAAATATTGACTAAATTCGACTTGAATTGTACTGTTACGTCGAATTAGCTGCATGTAAAATATACTTTCAGTACATCAATAGATCGTTACGATAAGACTCTTTAGACTTATTAAAACAAAAAGTTATTTCCCTCGTCACAGTGTTATACATGTAAATAACGTTTGCTGTATATTGCTGCAAAGTAATTGGAAATTAATTATTGATCAATATTCTAAATTTTTAGATTACAATTAATGAAATTCATCTTTTGTATATTTACTTTTTTTATGATTATCGATTACAATCAATAATCAAGCTTTTCTTAAATGTTGCACCTTCATGTTCGATTTTTGTGATTTCTTTCCAGTTCGCATAATTCATGGAACTCTGACAGTTCAGATTCAGAATCTGATGATGGTGACAGTAGGAGGCCTCCACCTAGTAAATCGTTAAATAGACGTGCCGCTCAGAAGGCTAAAGATAATGTCAGGGCACGGAAGAAACATATTTCCGAATCGTCTGAGAATTCATCTTTTGATAGCGATGATAATAGGAGGTACTTTATATATCTTCCGCCTATATGAATGAAGTAATTGAATAAATGTGACACAGTGAAATTGAAAATTTTAGGCAAGCTTCGAGAAGAGCTGGTACTGCTATTAGTTACAAAGAACAAAGCGAAGAGAGAACGGACAGTGAAGATCTCGTCGAAGTCGAAGAGGGTAGCATTGCAACTGCAGAACCGGACAATGCGGAAACAATTGAACGAATTTTGGGACAAAGATGTGGGAAAAAAGGAGGTTGGTCTTCAATATACTTGTTACAGTTGAATCTGTTCTCTGGAATATTTTGACACAAGCAGTTTCGCAATTTGACGCAATTTCTTCTTCAGTTACAGGAAATGTTACCACGGTTTATGCTGTCGAAGAGAATGGAGATCCAAATCCAGCGGATTTGTCTAATGAGGAAACTGAAATGCAATACTTGATAAAATGGAAAGGATGGTCTCATATACATAATACATGGGAATCGGAAGAATCCTTGAAAGCACAAAAAGTGAAGGGAATAAAAAAGTTAGAGAATTTTATTAAACGAGAACGAGAAATCAAACAGTGGAGAGATTACGCAGGACCAGAGGATATAGATTATTTTGAATGTCAATTGGAACTTCAACAAGATCTACTAAAAAGTTACAATAATGTTGAAAGAATCATTGCTGAGTATAATAAACCTGATTCAGATCGTCCAGATTATTACTGCAAATGGGAAAGCTTACCATACGCTGAGGCTACATGGGAAGATGGAATTTTGATTGTAAAAAAATGGCCAGAGAAAATCAAAGAATTCCGTGAAAGAGAAGAGTCGAAAAGAACGCCTAGCAAACATTGTAAGGTTCTTAGATCAAGACCAAAGTTTCATCAAGTAAAAGGACAGCCGGAATATATGGGGAGAGGAAAAGATTTGATTCTCAGAGACTATCAAATGGATGGATTAAATTGGATGATTCATTCTTGGTGCAAAGAGAACAGTGTTATTTTAGCAGACGAAATGGGTCTTGGTAAAACTATACAAACAATATGCTTCCTTTATTACTTATTCCACACGCACCAGCTTCACGGGCCATTCTTATTAGTAGTCCCTCTTTCGACAATGACTTCCTGGCAAAGAGAAATGTCACAGTGGGCACCAGACATAAATTTCGTTACATACTTGGGTGACGTTACTTCCCGTAATGTTATCAGAGAATATGAATGGTGTTACAGCTCGAAGAGACTAAAATTTAATGCTATTCTCACGACATATGAAATAGTACTTAAAGACAAAGCATTTTTGGGTGCCTTAAATTGGGCCGTGTTGCTAGTGGACGAAGCGCATCGGTTAAAGAACGATGATTCTTTATTGTACAAAGCACTCGCTGAATTTCACACAAATCACCGCCTTTTAATAACTGGTACTCCATTGCAAAATAGCTTGAAAGAATTGTGGGCCTTACTACATTTCATAATGCCTGCTAAATTTAGTTCTTGGGAAGAATTTGAGAAGGAACACGATAACGCGGCACAAAAAGGATATTCCAAATTACACAAACAGCTGGAGCCATTTATTTTACGACGCGTTAAGAAGGATGTGGAGAAATCGTTACCCGCAAAAGTTGAACAGATTTTGCGAGTAGAAATGACATCTCTGCAAAAACAATATTACAAATGGATATTGACCAAAAATTACAATGCATTACGGAAAGGTGTCAAAGGTTCAACTATGACCTTCCTTAATATTGTAATTGAATTAAAGAAATGCTGTAATCACGCATTTCTTACGAAACCCACCGAAAATGAAACAAGGGAAAGTAATGAAGATTACTTGCAGCAAATAATTCGGGGTTCTGGAAAATTAGTTCTCCTTGATAAATTGTTGGTGAGACTGCGTGAAACAGGTCATAGGGTGTTGATATTTAGTCAAATGGTCAGAATGTTAGATATTCTTGGCGAATATCTGCAAAAGAGACATTTTCCATTCCAAAGATTAGACGGAAGTATAAAAGGAGAACTGCGAAAGCAAGCACTGGATCATTTTAATGCAGAAGGGTCGCAAGATTTTTGCTTCCTATTATCGACTAGAGCAGGTGGTCTTGGTATTAATCTCGCCACCGCTGACACAGTCATTATATTCGATTCGGATTGGAATCCACAAAATGATTTGCAAGCACAAGCTAGAGCACATCGCATTGGACAAAAGAATCAGGTACTTTAATGTTCATTTCTCTTTTTACGTATTGTCAACACTTTTGTAAGACATATTTCATATTATGCGTAGGTGAATATTTACCGATTGGTAACGAAAAATTCTGTCGAAGAAGAGATAGTAGAAAGGGCTAAACAAAAAATGGTTCTGGATCATCTCGTGATTCAACGGATGGATACAACTGGTCGAACAGTGTTGGATAAGAAAAATGCAGGGACCAATAGCAATCCATTTAACAAAGAGGACTTGAACGCTATTTTAAAATTCGGTGCTGAAGATTTATTTAAAGATGAAGAAGACGGCGATGAAGAACCGACTGTAATTTTTTTTAAAAGATTGAATTATTCCAATTGGTGTTGTAGATACATTATAAATGCACGTTTATTTTCTTTATGTAATTAGTGTGATATTGATGAGATACTGAGGAGAGCAGAAACGAGAGATGAGGGACCTTCAACGGTAGGCGACGAATTATTGTCTGCATTCAAAGTAGCTAGTTTTGCTGCATTCGAAGAAGAATCCGAACCCGTTAGTCAACCTAACGATAATGACGATGAAAGTAAAGATTGGGTACGTTTCATTTTATTTATTCACTAATTCATGCATCTTCTAATATTTAGATGTATAAAAAGGATCACTAATGTTTTACATTATAATGTTTTTCTTTTAGGCCGAAATTATCCCAGAGAACTTCAGAAAGAAAGTTGAAGAGGAAGAAAAATCTAAAGAAATGGAAGATCTGTATTTACCGCCGAGAAGTCGAAAAACATTACAACAGATTAACCAAAGTGAAGGAAGAGGGAGAAAACGAAAGAAATTATCAGCTGATGATAGCGAAGAAGGCGAGGATTCTGGAAGCGAGGCTGAGGGAACCGATGACGAACGTCCTAAGAAGAGAGGTAGACCAAGGGTTACACCTCGAGAAAATATAAAAAGTTTCACTGATGCAGAAGTACGTTATCTTCATTTTTATATTGTAAACTATTTATAAACTTCGGAATGTATTTAATTTCTTGTTCTCATTAGATACGAAGATTTGTTAAAAGCTACAAAAAATTCCCTGCACCTCTGAAACGGTTAGACGACATTGCGGCAGATGCAGAACTGCAAGAGAAACCAATGTCAGAGTTACGTTTCTTAGGAGATCAATTAAGAACCAGATGCGACGCTTGCTTATCGGAGTTCGAAAGTACGGCAAAAGAAAATAAAGGTGAAGAAGACGGTAAAGGACCTGGCCGTAAAAGAGGCAGAGGCCCCACATTTAAAATCGGTGGCGTTATGGTCAATGCGAAATCGTTCTCAGCTGCGGTGAAAGAATTAGAACCATTAGAACAGGCTTTGCCGTCGGATTCGGAACAACGATCTAATTGGCACGTTGACATGAAGTAAGAACACCACATAATCCGCATACTTTGATAGTGTGATATACGCATATAGCACTGTAACTATATATTGAATTATAGATTGAAGCCGGCGAATTTGGATTGTGATTGGAATTCTGAAGATGACTCCAGACTTCTCAGAGGTATATATCAACACGGCATGGGTTCATGGGAGGCCATAAAAATGGATAACAGTTTAAAGCTTGGCGATAAGCTGCTACCAAATGGTAGTAAACTTCAGATAAAAAAGATACATGCACGCGCCGAGTACCTCTTGAAAGTACTCAAGAAACAAATTGATTCTAAACTAGGCGTGGTAAGAAAATGTTACTTTATATTTTGTGTATTTCATAGAATGTGTTCCCTTTATTCCTGCATTCAATCCCAACAGGGCTTTGTTTTTATCCCGCAATCAGAAAAGCAGTTTAAGGTAATTTCCACATACCCAGTGATCCTTCTTTTCATGTGGTATAAGTTCCCAATTCCTCAAGTTATAGTCTATGACAATTATTAATTTCATGTTATCATTCTGATATATTTGAATGATCATTTTAGACTAAAGTTAGAAAACCGAGAAAACCGAAGGAAGCAAAAGCAGCTATCACAAAAGAGATTATAGAGGAAAACGATACTTCCGGCGAAGAAAATGGCAAATCGAGAACTAAAGTTGAAAAGGTAATTTTATAGTTGTATAATGTATACCATAGAGCTATAAATTGTATGTAAAATGCGCATTTTAATATTCTTTGTAACTAAAGCCTGCAGTAAAAAAAGAGGAGGAAGTTGTTATAAAAAAAGAAATTAAAGAAGAAGTAGAAGATGTAGTGGAAGAAAAGAAGAAAGAGAAGAAAACTAAAAAGGAGAAGAAGGAAAATAAGAAGGCTAAAAAGGCAAAGCAACCGGCAGGTCCTATGCATTTTACTGCTAATAATGAACCAAGAGCTCTGGATGTTCTCGGAGATCTGGATCCATCGATATTCAATGAGGTTCTTATTATTGTTTTTAATATCAAGTGTGTAATAGTAAGTAAAACCTAATTCTCTTTCATTTTAATATGCAGTGTAAAGAAAAAATGAGGCCAGTGAAAAAAGCACTGAAAGCTTTAGATAGACCTGATCAATCTTTGAGCGAAGCCGAACAAGTCGCCCATACAAGACAGTGTCTTGTACAAATTGGAAACCAAATTAATACCTGTTTAGAGGAATACAGAGATCCCGAACAGATTAAGGAATGGAGAAGTAATTTATGGTACTTCGTGTCTAAATTTACGGAATTCGATGCGAAGAAACTTTACAAGTTATACAAACACGCAACGAAGAAAGGAGGTGAGAGTAACACCAGTGCTACGTCTAGCCCGGAGAAGAAAGAAGAAGCAAGCTGTGGGAAGGTACGACAATGTTTACTTTTACTTCGATTCGATTCTCATATCATTGAATAATTATGATTAATTAACGATCGATGTGATTAATTTTATAGAAGCACACCGAGAAACATATCGATAAACCAGTCGAAAGTATTAAACAAAAACGTAAAATTGATGACATGGAAGAGAATTCAAATAGTAGTACTACAGCGAGTAAGAAACATTTCTCGGCTGTGTCAGCAGTAAGCAGTATCAGTAACACATCGGCGGTTACTATTGGTGCTATCACGATTACCCCAATTACCTCGACTCCGAATTCTACTTCAAGTACCACGAACAGTGTGGATACACCGCGACACAAAGAGAAGGAATCAAAACATAAAGACATGAAAAGAGATAGAGATCGCGACAGGGACAGGGATAGGCCCCATAGTGATAGAAGTATGGACAGAATGAGCGGGAGCAAAGACGAAAGAATTAGAAGAGACAGCGGCGGTTACAGTATAGGTGGACATTATAGTGGAAGCAGAGAGGACGATCACTGGTTGTCCCGTGACGGAAGAGACATGAGAGATGGAAGGTATGCAGTGACAATATAGGAAATACGTATAAAGTTAAATCTGTTATAATCAATTGTACCTCATTTATAATTATTAATTGATACGTAGATTTGGGGATCATAAACGTGACCGTTTCGACTCGTACGGTCGAATGTCCAGCGGATATCACCGTGACAGAGAGAGGGAACGCGATCGTAGCATTCATATGAATGATAAACGAAGGTAAGTTGCTAGACAGAGGATAAAACTTTTGGATGACAGTAAAATACATAAAATTTGTGTTCAGCGATTATTACAGATATCCATCGGGACCCCCTGGATATGGATATGGTCCAGGAGGATATGGAGGTGGAGGCGGCGGTGGTTACCCTCCGTCTGATATCGCGCCAAGCCATTTTAGAGGTCGTGGTTATCCTGGAGATAGTTATCCCAATGACTGGCGGCCGAACAAAGATTATAGACGGGATTATGACAGAAGGCCACCCCCGCCAAACGCTAACTCCTAGTGCTCCTTGCTACTGTTCTCGAATGTGTTGTAGAATGACGGTAATTCTGATGGAGCCTTGCGTACTACCTGGCCGAGCAATTATGCTCGCTTAAATGTGGTTACACGATGAATTTTCTACACAGTTTAATCTGTGATTTAGTACCACTGGTGACTTGTACCTATGTATAAAATCTATTCCAATGCTTACTTAATATGCAAAAGAGTTCTATCATGTTAAGATCGTCTTTCTAAGAATTATGAAGAGCGATTTTTCGCAAAACTGACGAATTGATCCCCGTTCTTAGTATGCAATTATCCAATTTTTTTATACATATGTCGAATTACATGAGAAAGGAAATAGTGACGCAGAACTTTCAAGTTTACCGACTTCTAATTCATACGTAATGATATTTGTTTACGTCTTTGAATTCATTTTATTACAGTGCAATTATGGCAGGTTTTCATAATGAATCAAGATAAAATCAATGTGTTTGTAGTATATTATTATGTAACTTTTGTGAGTTTAATTGTACGCCTTCCTAAATTGCATGTAACATATTTTGCATTTTCGATACTGATTACGTGCGTTCAATGGATGTTTAGATTGTATACAGTTATTCACTAATTCAAACTATAATGCTATGTTGAAACATAAGTCTTCAAACCTTTATAATTTATTTATGAATATCATAATCTTACATTGACAGATACTTCGTTGCACTGCAATAGATGTATCTACAATTCCGACATATAATTTTACATAAGGGTGTCTGTAAAATTGTACAAATTAGTCAAACACCATATAAATTTTCTATTAACTAAGAATCTACATTGAATTTTACATAAAAATGGGATTTGTAGAATATCATGACATGTTTTTGTGATGGTATACAGTGTATGATAAAATACGCTATCTTAATACATATGTATGTATTGTAAAATTAGGAAGAAAGCAAGAAATATGATATTCGCCAACAAACGATAACGCATTCTTAAAAGAGAAAAAAAGAGATTAACTTTTTCTCCTCTTTTATAGAATTTATACTTTCAAAATTGAAAAAGTAGATAAGAATTATATTTTTGCGTTCATTCTTTTAAAGTACCATAGTTTTGTATCCTATCAGAGACAATGTGAAATATTGTAAATATTAGTATAAGGCAATAGTTATATTTGATGTATATTTAACTATGGAGTTACTGGGATAATGTATTCTGCTTTCGTGTAGAAAGAATAAACAAAAAACCATAGTATTCTCAGTTTCGCTTCAGTTGAAAAATGATTGAATATAACTGCATCATCGTAACAAAAGAACAGACGTATTTCTAATCATTCGAAGATCATAATTCAGAGGGTGTTGAAATATTTCTTGATTAAATGGGATGTTTCTGAATATTGGTAAAAATGTACAAATTTTACAAATACTTCTGTGAGAATTTTGTATTTGATTGTTTACAAAATTACAGGATATTCTATGGAAAACATATTTGCTAATTATATGTTCTTAAAACGGACGATTGTCACAAGCTTTTTTCTAATCATGTATTAGATTCCTTGAATCGCTAAATCGAGCATGATGCGCGAGCATTATACGATATTTCTCTATAGCGTAATATATTTTTTATTGTCCGTAATTACTTACACATGTAATCGGCCCTCTTTTCTGGGCTACAATATATGAAAAAATTATTTTGTAGATTATTTTCTTCAGATGAAGTAAATTTACAAATAGTAAAAGTTCACAATTTGAGCGTGCATTTCTGTAAATATTCATTGTATACATTGGATGGTATCTGACTATCTCGAAGCGGTATTATATCATTGTATGTATTATGTATATTACGTATAACAAATAACTTTTAGTGTTTTACTTATCAAAGTACGTGCATACATACATGCATATATAAAAGAAGGTGAGAAATAGGTACATACATTGAAATTACACCGCAATAGACATCCACTAGTTTAGGTTTTTAATTGCAAAGTGATATAATTCTAAACAATGAGCTATTTATAATTTATTACTAGCCGAATACAGACTGCGAGTAATAAAACAAAATATATGTTGTAAATACATATAAACTAAGAGAAATAAATAATGTAGTAGAAAAATTTCATATTGTATAATTGAAATAGTATCATATTTATTACTTTCGGAAATATAAACATACATACACGCTTTCGTGAGACAACGTGCATTTTACAGATACGAGAATTCATATGTAGTCAAATTCAATTGTCTATTATAGAGTTACTTTTTAACAATAAAGTAAATAAATTTTTAACTATCTATTTGAATTTGAATATTAGAAATATAATATTCATTTATTAACATTCTATCACTTGGTATGACCAAAAATTAGTATTTTCAAAATTATAGCATTTACTCGCGTACTAAAAGTATTAATAGCAGAACTGTTAATATCTATACACAAATGAAAGATGTTCCATTTAAATGTAATGCATACGCATGTACGCAGTAATGTATGACTCAACGTACGTCATATCAAAGAACACGGAACACGTCATCCAGTGCGACTTTGAGAGAAACTGTGTTAGGTAAGCAAGGTAAGCATAATATTATTATTTTGTTTCGAAAATTACAATGATTAAGTGCAGAAGCTCGTATCTTCAATTTGATAGATAAAATATTTAACAGTACGTAGTGAGTCGTAAATCCGTTCATTAATGAAAATCCCCTCTCCAGCGCAGTTCGTATCTCGTATATGCAGCGTTGCCAAAGTGCAGGACTTCTCTTCCCGTGCTGTCTCCCACTACTTTTTTTCTCTCCCACTTAAGATACCCATGGTCATTGGGGACATGTCTAATAATGCCATATGTAAGTGGGGAGAGCACATTGAGCATACAGCAACATACTGTAGTGGGGAGAGCACGGGAAGAGAAGAAGTCCTGCATTCTGGCAGCGCTGCGTATATGTATTATAGTACGTACTACTACGTACGTACGTACACCAATTGGACTTTGTCAATACGTAGACGAGTGCAGATGCAGGGTAGACGTAATTGCAAAGCCGCAGTTTAACATCGCTAAGTTTAGCTTTAACAACCAACGCAGAACTACGACTTTTCATACAATTTCTTTATAAAAGTACGTATTTTATGAATAACTTATTAAATTGTCAATTTAATCCCATAGAATATAAGAAATCAATTACAATTGCATCAAACTACCGGCGAGATGACAGTCAAAACTGTATCATAACGTTAATGAGGCATACTAGTACAAAAGGTGTATTGTTTTGGATTAAACATCTCGTTGTACGCATACCTATTAATATAAATGGTTTTCAAATTTCTTGTTTTCCGAATTTCACGCATACGTTTATCGGACAGTGTCTATAAATAGTTTCTCAATGACTTTGCAAGAGTGAATATCTTTATTACATCTCATTATACATTTTTTTATTCTTCGTCAGAAATGGCACAAGAACGATTGGACTTTGTAATATTCGGAGAGTCTAATAATGCCATATGTAAGTGGGGAGAGCACATTGAGCATACAGCAACATACTGTAGTGGGGAGAGCACGGGAAGAGAAGAAGTCCTGCATTCTGGCAGCGCTGCGTATATGTATTATAGTACGTACTACTACGTACGTACGTACACCAATTGGACTTTGTCAATACGTAGACGAGTGCAGATGCAGGGTAGACGTAATTGCAAAGCCGCAGTTTAACATCGCTAAGTTTAGCTTTAACAACCAACGCAGAACTACGACTTTTCATACAATTTCTTTATAAAAGTACGTATTTTATGAATAACTTATTAAATTGTCAATTTAATCCCATAGAATATAAGAAATCAATTACAATTGCATCAAACTACCGGCGAGATGACAGTCAAAACTGTATCATAACGTTAATGAGGCATACTAGTACAAAAGGTGTATTGTTTTGGATTAAACATCTCGTTGTACGCATACCTATTAATATAAATGGTTTTCAAATTTCTTGTTTTCCGAATTTCACGCATACGTTTATCGGACAGTGTCTATAAATAGTTTCTCAATGACTTTGCAAGAGTGAATATCTTTATTACATCTCATTATACATTTTTTTATTCTTCGTCAGAAATGGCACAAGAACGATTGGACTTTGTAATATTCGGAGCGACCGGATTTACTGGAAAATATGCTGTAAAAGTTGCAGCACAATTGGCTAAAGAAAAGCAGTTAACATTTGGAGTATCTGGACGTAGACAACAAGCTCTTGAAGCAGTTGTTAAGGAATTTGCACCTAATATCGGTAACATTAAATTTTGCACGCTTATGATTATAACAATACACTTGGATGATGTTCGTACTTTTTCAGATGATGTGCCCATATTCATTGCTGATTTAAAAGATGAAGAATCTTTGAAGAAAATGACTGCACACGCTAAAGTACTTGTTAATTGCTGTGGTCCATACAGATTTTACGGGGAACCAATTATTAAAGCTTGCATTGAAACACATACTCATCAGCTTGATATTAGTGGTGAGCCACAGGTAAATTCATACTATAATTCTATAATGCGAATTATTTAAAAAATGTTATAAATCTGGATTAATTAGTTACTTTGTATTGCAGTATATTGAGAGAATTCAACTGAAATATGATAAAGCAGCTGAAGAAGCTGGTATCTACATTGTAAGCGCGTGTGGATTCGATAGTATCCCATGCGATCTTGGTATAATATTCACACAACAGAAATTTGATGGCGAAGTGAATTCCATTGAAACCTATCTGAACGCATGGACCACGTCGAACGTTAGAGGAGCTCTCTTGCATTATGGAACATATGAATCAGCTGTTTATGGCGTGGCACATCATAACGAATTGCGCGAGTTGCGTAGACAACTGTTTCCTGAAAAGCTACCTAAATTTTGGCCGCATCTCAAGACTAGGTCATTATTTTTAATAATTATTGATCTTACATATTTTCATACGAATGCAGACGTGTATGATTTATATTTTCAAATGTTCTATGTTTTAGAGGTCTAATTCATAGGTCTTCCTTGTCGGAAGGGTGGTCCATGATATTTCTTGGAAGCGATCGTTCCGTGGCTCTTCGTACTCAGCGATTTTTATACGAGAAATATAAGCAACGACCAGTTCAAGTTCAAACTTACGTTACATTCAAGTAAACAATCTATCATGAGTCATGAAGCAGTAGTACTAAAGTTGAAACAAATTAAATTTTTACAGTAATCAATTTATTTTTTTATTAACAGATCTCTTTTCTCGGCTTTGGCAGCTATTGTTTTGGGTTTAATATTTGCAGTACTGGCTAGATGGGAATGCGGTCGCAATTTATTGCTAAAGGTATGTTATAATTTTTATTTCATATCTTAATACGTCTGACGAATATTAAATAAAAATAATATTTTCGTTTGTCTAGTATCCTACGATTTTCTCCGGTGGTTACGTGAGTCACGAGGGCGGTAAACCGGAGGATCTGGAGAGTTGTCACTTTTCCATTACATTTAAAGCAGAAGGATGGTCCGAGAAATTAGCTGAATGTACTGATAAACATGAGAATTCGCCGAACAAAGTACTAATTACTAAAGTTAGTGGTACTGATCCTGGATATGGTGCTACATGCTCTATGCTACTGCTCTCTGCTGTGATGATCCTTAAGGAGTCCAATAAAATCCCTGGAAAGTACGTTTGCACACGTTTGCGTTTCAGATTCGAATATGTACTATTTTTTTAAGGATGTATTTGATACAATATTTTATGCTTTCACTGTTTCAGTGGTGGAGTACTATCTCCTGGAGCTGCATTCGGTAAAACATCATTGATTGAAGAATTAAACAAAAGGGATGTAAGGTTCGAGGTTGTTTCCTCTCTCCAAAAGTAATATTTGTGCTATATTTGGGCATAAAACTTTGCTTTGGGATTGAAGTGTTGGGTGAA